CATTGTGGTCAAAAGCAGGTGTTTCCAGCCTACGAATAAGTAACTTGCATTTTAAAAATTACAAAATTGGACCTACACCAATAGGAAAAAAACCAACCATAGGGAGCCCACCAGAGAACAGTTTACCAAGGAAGATGAAACGCCTGGTGGTGGTTTGCAAACAGCAGCAGACTAGCTAGTGTAAATCCCCTTCATTTAGTCATCGGTTCTTCAGCCTGTCACAGATACTGAAGGGAAATGCAGAAACAGGAAATTACAGACTATTTTAAACAGCATGTTTTATTAAACTCACTTGCTGATGCACTTTATGGCAGGATGCGAGACTCAAGTGTTCATAACTTACATTTTTGCAAGTGCTTTTCCTAAGTGAGTTCTCCCAGCTGAAATATGGCTTGTACACAGAGCTGGAAACAATCTCTAAACTAGTCACTGGCCGCAGGTCATGTAGCTGTGTCACATGCGATGGAAAAGTTTTAGCCATGTGAAGGGAGTATACCTCGCTTATCCACTGTAACGCTAAGAAAACGGTGTAGTAACTAAAAGATTCTGAATGCATTTATTTTTATCCACAGAATCAAAACACAGCAATCTATTTTTTTAAAATGTTTTTTTTTATTGATATCAGAGAGGAAGGGAAAGGGAGAGAGAGAAACATCAATGATGAGAGAGAATCATTGATCAGCTGCCTCCTGCATGCCCCACACTGGGGATCGAGCTGGCAACCCCGGGTATGTGCCCTGACTGGGAAACGAACGTGACCTCCTGGTTCATAGGTCGACGCTCAACCACTGAGCCACGCCGGCTGGGCAAAACACAGCAATTTTAAAATAAATTACTAGAAACTATATATTGTCTCTTTTGTTATCTAAACAGTGATTTCATTCTTCCCTTCCTGGGACAATTCTGCCTCTAGTTTAAACCATCGTTAATGCCATGCAGAATCCTGGTTTTGGAAATTGGCAGAGATGTGATCACCTTAACTACAAATAAATGACTTCACACTTAAGGGACTGTCATGAAAATGGATTTGATCAACTTATTTTCAAGAACGTTTTCTGCTCACAATTTGAGGGATGGGAACACCTAGCTGTGTTGCAGAAGAATCTATGTCCTCGTCTGACATTGACGGTGAGTGTGACACCCTTTCCTCTATGCCCATGTCTTCTGCAAGGTGTTCTGGGCTCTCCTCTATCATACATGGAAAGGAAGTTGTCAAGTGGAGCTGTAACACAAGTTCATGATTGGAGGGGTGGGTAGTCACGCCTTGATGGAGTTATCTATGAGCTCTAAAAGTAAATACCTTCATTCACTCGCTTCAGCATTTACTGAGGAAAGTAGCATGCAAAATGGTCTAAATGTCTATTGTCTTAAAAGATTATGCCAAAGATGCTTTACCCTAATGATTGATTGGTTGTCAAATAGTCACTTCCAACGGTTTTGAGTTTTTCTCCCTTCCTCCCAGGTCCCCATCCCTGCAATCTTTTTTTTTTCTTTTTAAAATGTCAATAGACTTTATTTTTATGAGCACTTTTAGGTTCACAGCAAACTGAGCCGGAGGTACAGGGATTTCCCATATCCAACACAGCCACCCTCATCTCAATATCCCCCGATCCCCACAAAGGAGTGCCTTTGTTACCATCTATGCACCTGCATTGATACATCATCCCCCCCAAATTTACATTGGAGTTCACTGTTCATCCCTGCAATCTTGTTCCCAGGACCCCTTTCAAGGTGAAGTGTAGAATAATAGGATTTTAGCGTGGAAGCATATAATGGTGATTACCTTTGCCCTTTTAAAGGGCCTTTACAGACCATCTTCTACATCACCCACTTTTAGGGAGGAAGGACCAGAGACAAAGGTTCATGATTTGGTTAATGACATGCACCTCGCTGCCTAGGGGTAGCAATTAAAGGCACTCTTGGGGAGCTGGGCCATTTTCTTAAGTGAAGATTTCCCCTCATTTAACTTTTAAAAGTCTGGATTCTGCCACATCAGGTTTCCCTTACAGCTGAGCGCAGCAAGGAGAAAAGGTGCTATTTCCATGTGGGGAGAGAGCAGGGAGAGGTGAAGGAGGGTGTGTTCCATTTCCCAGGCTCAGAGGATGCAATATAGTACCCAGTTAATAGATTGAACTTGCTGCTAAGGGGTGCCATGGCCATTCTGGAAAAACCCAGCTTAGTGTCTCCTGAGCAGAGATGACAACGCAGGCACTTAGGAGGCCCTGATGCTCTCATCCCAACAGGAACATTTTTGTTATTCAGGTGGATGGTTCGGGATTATTTTTTTTTTTGGTGGTGACAAAGGTATTCCTTGTACTATGTTGGAAATGTCGTGAAACTAAAGCTTGATGACTAACAATGACAAATGTGACGCTGCTGGATCCACAGGCATCGCTGCGCCTGCAGGGGAGCTCTAGCGGGCTCTACGGAGCAGGTGCTGGGCCCGCAGTCAGGTGAGTGCTGTGGAAAGCCACCAGTGCCGCCATTTCCAGATCTGCCATCAGGAACAACATCTGGAAGTGCTGGGCTTTTTAAAAGCAAAAGGATAAGTCCTTCCTTTCATATTTAAATCTCCATGATGTATTACACTCATAATAAGGATGGCACATTTGACAAATTAATTAGCTGCCAACGAGCTTTCCCCTTTCTTCAGATAAAATATTAGCCTCTTAGAATAACATGAATACGGAATTGTATGGAATATTACCAGCAATCATCTGTAGCCGGTTTTACCACTTACAAGGTCATCTTCTTGACAATTTGACATTTCCTAAAGGAATGAACTAGGAGTCAGTATTTACAGATTCATCTTATGCTATTTTTTTTCCCCCAGAAACTCTGTCAAAGCTAAAATCTCTGGGTTTTTTAAGATAAAACCTTACTGATGATCAATTACATTGTGCTCTTAATCCATAGAAATCTAAACCTATAAACCAGGCCCATTCAAAAACACCTGTCATACTGACTTCAAGTAAAAACTCCCATGTGGCCACTGCCCATTACAGTTTCTCGACGTTTTGAGTTGTTGGGTTGTTTTTTTGTTTGGTTGGTTTTTGTTTGTTTGTTTTTAAGGAGAAAGAGCGATGGAAAAGAGAAACATGGCCGATAATCATTAAAATAAGAAAATCTTAATGAATTTTGATCATTTTAATAAATATATATCAAGAAAACCTCACTTTATTACAACAACACATTCATATACAAGCGTCTATCATCTAAGTTTTCAACATCAAATGTTTATCAAATATTGAAAATAAAGGACAAACTTTACTAGACTATTTAGCCATAACACAAGAACATGTTTGAAAAATTGGTCCTTGTGGACATTGTCCAAATAATGATCCTACTCATACACTGTATGAATGAGACCTATATTTAATATTAATAGCAATAATAAAAAAAGCTTTATCTTGGAGAAACTGGGAGGACTTACTTATTTCCTCCATTTGGCATTTGGTTCGTGCAGTCCTGTTTAAGGAGGCCCAATCAAATAGTGACCTTGAAATTGGAACACAGTTAAGCAGGAGGAACTGGCTGGAGCAGAGGGAAGGAGGGTCAGAGGGGCACTCCGAACCCTCTTACAAATGTACAGATTAAAGAAATGATTGAGAAAAATGTTGACCAAATACGTAGACTGTAGCTATTGCCGGCTGAGTCCCATTTCTCCAAAATAACTTTCCCAAACCTAAAATCTTTACATTCTTTAAGATAAAACCTTATTGATCACCACATCATTTATTAACATTGTGCTTCTTAATCAACAGCAAAAGTTATATATAAAAAACCACATGCTTTTATAATCTAAACGAGTGAAATGATGCAAAACAGATTAAAATATAATGCATGCCACTGGTTCATGAACTTCATTGGACAAGAAAACCAAACCAAACCAAACGACCCCAAACCCAAAAAACCCAACCCCAGCAACAGACGGTTGCCATAGAAAAGCCCAAGCAGCTAGCGCTGGTTCCCAACAGCTCTCTCTATTGTTTCCTCCATCCCTTTCAAAAAATGCCAAATTCAGAAACAACTGGGCATCAAAAATAAAGGAACAATAGAGATGTCGAATCAAAAGTTGAACGCAATAGCTCGAAGGTAACGGTTTCCAAACAATATCGATCCACCCTGTGTGTGTTTTTCCTGTTTGTTAAATCCCTGCTGTAACTCTGATTCATCCTTAATTTTCACATTGGCAAAAATTAAGATAAAGTAAGGCACCGAAAATCGCCCTGTATACCACTTCCCTAAAAGCCTCATCACCCATCGCAGGCAAGCGGGAATTTGCAGGGAGCACCCTCCACACATAGTGTTGATTGCCGCCCCTAGACAGGTGTGTCTCCTTTACGTCATGTCCTATTTTCATCTGTCACACAAGACTGTTAAATACAAATACTTAACAGCACCATGAAGCCATTTCACCTAGCTCCCTGTCTTCAGTCTTTCATTCAGAAAAAAAACTGTAGCCTATAGACCAGTGGTTCTCAACCTTGGTTGCACATTAGAATCACCTGGGAATCTTTTTTAAATTCTGATTTCTGGGCCTCATCCTCTGGAAATTCTGTTTCTGTTACTAATGTGGCCTCACCCCATAACAAAGAAACAGAATTTCTGGAGGATGAGGCCCAGAAATCAGGATTTTAAAAAGATTCCCAGGTGATTCTAATGTGCAGCCAAGGTTGAGAACCACTGCTATAGACGAAGCAGACCTCCTTTGCTGGTTATATTGATTTGTTTACCAAATACCTACCTAATTCATTGGCAAACGTTGAAGTTTCTTAGCTAGTGACAGGCTCCTTGGGGATAATGGACATGTCACAAGGGCGCATTGTCCCCCCGGTCTAATCTACTGGTCTTTTCTGTAAGAAAACTAAGATAGACTTTTAAGCATGAAGTCAACTGTTTTCTTGGAAAAATTACCACACTTCTAAGTAGCTCACTGATGCCTACTATACAGATGTTTTACGCAATCTGCTCTCCAGGCATTAAAACGACACGGCATGTTCATGGCATAATCGTATCAGTTGTACAAAACTAGAAAAATCCATTCAGAATAAAATGTAGGAGCGCTAATTGATCATGCTGAGCATGCGTCAGAGTTGCGGTGGGAAGATGGCTCGTGTTTCACTTCCTTTTGCTGCAGCACAGTTTGTTGCCCGGTGAAGGCTCCTTTCTCCTCAAGGACTTTTTCCAGGACTCACTGACACTGTGTTTTTCATTATAGCCAGTCTCAAAATAATCATAAAATTGGCCTTTGCACTCAAAAGCGAGGTCATTTCCCACAGGTTCATGGCTTAGGGGGCCACCAGCCCTGTCAGTGTCATCGTTTGATTTCTCCTCATGTAATTTGGCCTTTTCCTGAACACCAAGCGACCTGACATTAGTAACAAAGATTTCGCTGGCAGGTATATGGCCATCACCCTTGTAAATCGGTGCACCGCCTACATCAAAATCCACCTGGTGGGAACAACTTGGTAAAGGCAGAGGGGAAGAGGAAGAGGAGGAGGAGGAGGAGGAGGAGGAGGAGGAAGAAGAGGAGGAGGCAGTGGTGGAGGCACTTCCAACATTAGCATTGACAGAAAGGGGTAAATTTAGGTAGTGACCACCACAATCTTGGTAAAAGCAGCAGGCATGAATCTTCTCGCACTCCTCTTTGGCCATCCGCGGTCGTTTCCGGTAAGGACAGTCCTGAGCCACGAACCACTCCTGGGCAGGGGCGCCATTGAACGAGCAGGCAGGGAAGCACCAGTTATTCTGCATGATAATTTCTCCATGGATCCTTTTCATCAAATTGTTTATCAGGACAGATCTTCGGAGGTACACTTCAGGATCGTCGATAAACTTTAGCTTCTCTAAGGACATGTAAAGGATGTGGGCTCGCTCCTCAAAAATGGAGATGGTCTAAAAATCCAAACAGGAAGAGAAAGCTTAGGAAAGGGACTCTATGGATATATCATCGCAGCATCGTTCTTTCTGGGCCGTGTCTGGATCTGGGAATGCGTGGCCCTGTTTCCCCAGGTTCCTGTAGAGCAGTGGTTCTCAACCTTCTGGCCCTTTAAATACAGTTCCTCATGTTGTGACCCAACCATAAAATTATTTTCGTTGTTACTTCATAACTGTAATGTTGCTACTTTTAGGAATCGTAATGTAAATATCTGATATGCAGGATGGTCTTAGGCGACCCCTGTGAAAGGGTCGTTCGACTGCCAAAGGGGTCGTGACCCACAGGTTGAGAACCGCTGCTTTAGAGAGGTTGACCCTAGTGCTACTAACGGCCTCTTCCTGACTCACTGGTGTGGCCAAGCCCCAGGGAATCCAGCCACAAGTCAGACCTCCGCAGGGACAAGCCAGGTTGCTGCCTCTTTCATGGCACAATGAGGAGGACAGAAAAGATACTGAACTGTGCTGTAAGAAGTCATGAGGGTAGTTTCTCTGGAGGGCAGAGAGGTAGTGACTAGAAGGGGGGCCATGGAAGGGTTCTGGGTTCTGGTGATGTTGCTTCTTGATCTGGATACTAATGACATAGATATGTTCACTGTGTGAAATTCTCCAAGCTGTACTCTTATGATACTTGTGCTTTTATGTGTGCAACACACATGCATATATGTGGCGAGCCGGCACGGCCATGGCATACTCAGCCCCACATTGGGCGCCTTATGTGCCGCGCCAGCTCAGCCAGGTTCGGTGACCCTGAGAAGGGGCGGTGAAGAATTGAGAAAAGACAGACAAGAGAAGAAAGCTGGGTCTGGGGGGGACGCTGCCCTCTCGGATGGAGACACAGCCCCATGGACTACAAGCCGTGTCTTTATTTTATAGCCAGATTCCACGAGGCAAAGTAAGGGCGTGGTCAAGATGTTTACAACATTCTCCTGGGTTTTGATCCTACATGCACCTGAACTCTATCAAGCTCACATCACTCAGGCACGTGGGGCCATGAGTTCGGACCATAGGTTCAAGCTTACAACTATAGCTGTTGGCTATAATTGTGCTGGGAGGGCTCTGCCCTCCAAGCTGAGACTTGCACGTGGCCATGAGAGGACTGTGCCCTCTCATTAGTCCGAGGCTTGAACCTATCCAAACACTGTAGCTGCTCTCCACACATATAGACACACAGACTCACATATTGTATGTCAATAAATGATTTAAAAAGATGCCGACATACAAGACATAATGAGTCCACTTCAAAGCCTGGCCTAGCCGTCCAGGGGCATGAGATCTGGTCTCCATGTTGTCCCTCTTTCAATCCTCTGGGTTTCATATTTGCAATGATCTTTGCTCGAAGGGGGGACGATGATTAAGGAATGAAGCTCAGAACCTGAAAAGTTCTGAAGGGCCAAAGTAGGCATCCTTCTGGGCCGGGCAGGAGCAGGGATGCAGAGAGGGAGTGAGAGGACTCACTCCTGAGCTGGGGGATACCATCACTGTGTGATGGTTGGTACAGATCCAGCAGCAATTGGAAAACTGCTACAACCACAACACAAGCTAAAGAGGAAACACATTGCTTGTGTCCTAGGGGCCAGCTCTTCCAGCTCATAAAAAAGCCAAGTGGTAGCATAACCCGAGGAGCGGGGAACCGAACCAGCCCAGGCTGACCAAAGGCAGGGACTACACACGCAGGGAGAAGCCCAACACCTGCCAGTGTGTGCTGATGTCTTCATGAGCAGGGTCAACGTGACTTCTACAGGACAGGGGTGGTGACGGGGGACGTGGGGGAGTCAGAAGAGACAGAGAGAAAGATGAACCGAACAACTAAAACTCCTCTCTGCCTTTCAGACAACTAGGGTCTGGGCTGACTAAGTCAACAGCTATATTTTGAAGAAAGATAACAGTAAGGAAAAAGAGATGGTGTTTGAAAAGCTTAGATGGCCAGTTTCATACTTCTACACACTTTCCTGACCCTGTAATTTTCTTATAATATGTGCAAAAAGTGAGCTTTGGTGTTTTCTTGGGAATGGATGATATATTTGAACAAACTGAACATGTGTAACAAATGTGCAATGAAGTGCAGGTTTCTACTTTCATGCACACATTGGAGGGAGGGTGAGTCCATCCCTAAAGGGAGGGGCAAAGCCCGGAGGGAGCACCCCACGTGGGCACACGCAGAGGGGGCGCTGTCCCAGGAGCCAGAGCTGAGGGCGAGAGCAGGTCAGAGAAGGGAAAGGGCATTTCAGCACACGTGAACACCAGGACTAGCCACAACCCGTAACACAGCCCGAGAAAAAAAAGAAATCATTTGTAAAGGAGACGCTCCTTGGATTATATAATTCTGTTATTTCTGGGCAGTGGAGCGCCTGCTGGCTCTTTTCTCAACTCCTTGTGAAAAATAACGCAGGACCCAAAAAAAGTGACAACGATTAATATGGCTGTGATGAGAAGTAGCTCCCTTTCATTGCTTGGGAGGAACAATTTAATTTTTGGAAATGGATCAGGCAACTGTTACTCAGTATCTTAAACTCTTAATAAAAGTAATGACTATTAAAAAAAAACATACTTTATGGCTACAGCTGCTGAGTGGTGGGTGAAAATCCTCTTCTTCCACATACTTCCTCTTAAAGTATGTGATCTTGGATGTTGTTATAGGATTTGAAATTCCCCTGTAATGTGATCCTGTGGTAATAAATCAGATATGACAAATGACATGCGGTTTGCCAGAGGTTCTCCAAACAAAATACTTTTCTCTCCTTTCCTTCTAGAAGATAACTTGGCTACGTATCTCTCTGTACATGTGGTGATTAAAAACAAACACTTGTCTTAATAATTGCTATCATACAGAATCCTGTGACCCAGGCCAGGCAAGGCTTTCTAGACAATGAGAGAGGAAAACGACATATTCCAGCCTTCACTAAATACTCAGATTCTTTGCACAGGCAAACTCAAAAGGGGAGGACTGTAACAACTCCAAAATAATATTAATATTTATTCAAATTGTTTAATTAAATCCATGATACCCTAACACCACTCAAATACAGGGTGCCCCCTCCCCAAAATGTATACACTTTAACAGTTGATAGTTCAATTTTGAAAATGAAAGTATTTTAATAAACGCTGTCTTTATAATTATTCAAAGTGTGTGTACATTTTGGGGGACACCCTATATATACATATACTAAGTTATAAGCATAATAATTAAACAACTTTCAAGTATTATTGGCTTTAGGTAAGGAAAGAAATGATTAACGGTACATGGGAATTGTAATATTTCTTCTTTTAAAATATGAAATTTAAAATTTAAATTTTGGATACCTAAAGTCCTTTTGGCTTTCAAAAATGTAACATGTCAACCATGAATAAGTAGGGTCTACTTTTTAAAGACCACAGCTTTTAACCCTTTTTAGCAAACCAGACTTCACAAGTACTTGTTTGACATTGTAGGGTTCTTTAAAAATTGCTAGTACTACACACAAATCCAAAGGAGCTTACCTTAAAATATTAGAATAAAGAATGAGAAAGAACATAGTTCTGTTTTCTGAGCTTTGACGTTTTTCCCTACAATACCAAAGCCAATTGTGTGCTTAATAAGAAGAAGAGACACAGCACTGCTGGCCCAAAGTGCAGATTCCTTTTTGTCTCATGGGACGAGGATTTCATTGTCAAGCCCCCTGGGGCTTGTCTAGCTTTGAGAGAACCATGCAATTCCACAAAACCTAAACCCCAAACAGAGTTTCAAAATCTGGTTTGGTTCTCTTTAAAAAAAAAAAAAAAGACACATGACTTCTACCCGAAGCAGCAGCACATGTCCAGACTCAGATTTGAATGCAATTTAAGTATCACCTCTGGTCCTCTCCCTGGAGCCCTGGGCTCAGGTAGGAGAGATGCATGGGCAGCCTGGAAAAGCCCCTGGAGCTGGGCTCAGCTCAGAGAGGCCCTGCACACACCCCCTCCTCCCACCAGTCCGGCCTCAGAGAGCAGCAGGCGAAGGTCGAGAGCAGTACCTGCCAGCGGGGGGCCGGCTCCCCGGTCTCCCTGCAGAGGAGCCTGTGCTGGCCCTGGGGGGCTCGGGCCTCCGTAGCTGTCAGCCTCCCATAGTGTCTGGTACCCTGCAATTTCAGCAGCTCCTTCCGAGACAATGGGCTCGCAGAATCTATTCATGGACAGAACCAGAGTCATCGCTGACAGCCTCAGATCTGAAAAAACAGAAAACAGCCCCGATCAGGAGGAAGCCAGGCCCTGGCCTTGGCATCTTCATCCCTTTGCTCTGGGAAACTTTTACTTCTGGGTCCTCCCTTCACCCTGAAACAGTTGATTGTTTTTCAAAGAGAACCTCAGCAAACTCTCTTGCTGCTGTTAGCTCAGCCTCTGTGTTCGGCAATCTGCATTTCATGGGCGGATCTTTAAAACCCCATCTCGTATTGTTCTCAGATTCCCCTCAGCCCTCTTCAAGACAGCTGCTTTGCCTCCTAAACACATTTTCCTCCTGACCTTGCCACAGAAAATGGACCGCTGGCAGGCAAGGCCAAAACCCTTGCGCTTCCTTTCTATTAATAAGGCGAAATCAATTTTCTAGCCAATCCCCCGAGAGTCTCCTTTGATGAAATCCGCTAATCAATCAAAAGAAAGGGGTAGGGGAGGCAGAAACCTCCACCAGGAATCCCTACTGACGCTCTCAGGTTCCTCTGTTCCGCTGCCCCCTCCTCCTCGCGTTTCCGCAGGGCCAGTTCCTCTACAACATTCTGGGGCTCCCTCCGCTTTCTTCTCCCAAAGCGAAGCAGACAGAGACACACTTGGTAGTTGTTTCCACCAGCCCTGATCGGCCTGAACTGGATCTGCCTCCAGTCAAAACACTGAGAGATGAAGACAGAAAATTGGCTCCAGTTTCAAGCCGTGAGTTGCAGTCCCACAGGAGCCAAGCACAACATCCACGGAGCAGGCAGAATATTAAACAGGAGCCAGGGCTTTGGGGCCAGAGGCAGCCGACAACTCTTTACACTGCAAAGCCCAGACACAAGGCAGGAACTTTCCAAGAGGCAACACACCACACTAATGCCCTTCTCTCCAGTTCGCGTCCTTCCCCAGGGCCTCCAGGGAGACAGGGAGCCTTCTTGCTCTGTGAAGCGAGCTGGGCCCCTCCATAACTCAGGTTTGGGGGGGCGGGGGGTCATGTCCATGGGGGCTCAGTGCCTTCCCTTGGTCCTAAGTAGGCCTCAAGGTAGGGTCAAGAGTGAGTTCAAGGAAGAAAAGGGTCTGATATTAAAGTAAAAAGACTCAGGGGCCACAGATCAGTGGTGACAGAAGAGCAGCCTCGGTGCCTCCCTAAGTGCCAGGTCCTTTAGGAGAGCCAAACCTTCACCTCCCACTTTGCAGTTTAAAGAACTGTCACAGAGTGATGTCAGGCCTGCTTTCTGCAGATTGACTGTCTTGCACATATGCATGAAGGGTCTAGTTCTTGCTTTCTTCTCCAAATTATACAGCTTATAATGTTTTGGGGAAAGGGTGACTCTCCCATTGTCTCGTGGGAGACTATTATTACCTACATGTTATAACAAGGGGCCACTTCCAGGTAAAAGACACCAGGGATAGGGAAAAATAGCTTCATTAAAGTGACAACGTCCTTCTGACAAACACAGAAGCTCTTGGCAGCAATGGCTCCATTCTTCACACAGGCTTCTCTTGGGGATCCTAAATTCCATCCCAACCTCACTAGAGAGTGAAGCAAAGCCTTCTATAGACAGGGAAGTGTCTGGGGTGGTGGTGGGGGTGGGGGGGTCCGTGGCTGGAATTAGGACCCAGCTGATTTGGGCTTCTAAACCACTTACACCTTCTCTTTCCAAATGCCCTCCGAAGAGGCAGCTGCTAGGACTTATTAGAAAAATCTTATTGCAAGAGAAGAAGAAGAAGAAGAAAAAAGAGGTTCAGTGAATTCTCTAAAAAGAAATGGTGGGACACGTCATTCATTTTGTCCTTTGAGTCACCAACCAAAAAATTTAAACTACATTGATTGAACAAACTACGCCATTCTGTCTGTCACCCCCTCCAACGCTGCATCCGAACAAGTTACAAAACCTCATGGTAATTTATTCCCTGGAAGACTCTCATGACATGGTCCAAACTGAAACTCTTAACCTATTTTAAGACAATTGCATCAGGAAGTGCTATTGCCATGAACATATGAATTAGAGGTTTTTCTGAGGCAGCAGCCCTCTCTTAGTGACTGCAACAATATTTTCCAGCTTGACATTTACCCTCCCTTTTGTGCTGGATTCTAGGAATAAGATCCAAAGTTTTTGCCTGAGAAGAACTTTTATTACATCAAAACCAAAGCAGGTTGACAAATCCATGCCCCGTAAGAGAGGAAAGTATTTGCAGGCCCGAGCAGCAATTACCTTTGTTTAATAGGACATTATGGGGGCCCTGGGCTGTGTTATGTCAGTAAGAATTTGTTTACATTTTAAGGACTTATTGTTGTAGCTTTTCTGGTTAAGGATTTCAGTGTTTCTATTTGTTAGTATTGTTTCCAGTACATAAATATTCATCATCACGCATTGGAACTTGAATCGTGAACTTGAAACCAGGCAAAATTGTTTTTATTTTGGCTGTTTTTTCCCTTCATGATACTAATTTCAGTAAGTTTTTCTTTTCTGAATTGAAAACGTTGACACACAAAATCCTAACCTGGAGAGGCTGAGTTCCACAGCTATTGAGTCTTCCTGGTCTATTTAGAATTTACAGTCGAGGATGTTAACAAATGAAGAAGGCAAGTTTAAGGTTCAGGAAGAATTGGAGTGTGCAGCGCTAAGCACCGATGTTTCACGTGATTCTTAATTTGTGTTATATGTGCAGACCCACACTGTCATTATTCTCTGTAGGATGAGATTTACATATCATTCTACTACTGAAGTCAGAAGTTTAAGTCCACAAATTAATGTGCTGTTAATATTAAATATAGCCACCAAGATCTATAGTAATGGCAAAATCTGCTTAACATGAGAGATGAGTGGATTAAAAAACAAAATAAAACAAAAACAAAAGTGTGTTCAAGTGTGTTTTGTTCATACATTGGGTTTTAAAAAATCAAAAGGCTCTAACCTTTTATCCTCAGGCTCCTACAGGCCTGTTTTGTGAGCCAAGTGGATGTAGTGGTATGACCCCTCCAGCATCCCCAGGCGGCTGAGGGCTCCAGCTTTCCCAGCTAATGCTCCCAGGAAAGTTACCAGGCACTTCTATTCGGTTTGGTTTTTCCAGATGGGCTGGGCTTTTTTTCTCGGAGCCATTATGATGCTAATAGGAGTGACTGGCACACAGAACAGGGTAGCCCCAGATTGTGGCACCTTGAATCTAACTGAGGCCTCTGGTCATTCTTTGCGCCCCCCCCCCCCATCTGTCCTTAGAAATTAGAGAACATTTTATTAAGAGCATTATAGCAGTTAGAGGTCTGATCCCAATCCTGGAAAGCAGGTAAGTAAAGGGCTTGATATTTTCAAAGCACTGACATTGCCCATCTCAAATGCCCTGCCCCAGTGGAACCAAGCCCAGGCCTCCACATTGTCCCTAATAAGATCTCAACAGTTCAGCCCAGCTCTTGAGAGCGGTGGTGGGAGAGGCTGGATGGGCGCAATAAAATCCTCCCAACCCTTCCCACATAGGCAGACACGGCTCTTCGGCCAGGCCTGGCAGAGAACACCTGTCTGCCCTGAGAAGTACATTTCTCTGAGGGCCATGAGCTCTAGGTCAGGTCCTGGGTCCGAGGAGGAGCGGTGGAAGGTGGGTGTCCAAGTCGCTGGGGCCAGGTCTTCCCATCCCAGGCCCCAGCCTGGGATCCGAAGCTTAGAGGACCGACCCACTGCGGGCTGGCAGCAGCCCTCAAATCCCGGCTCCCAACCAGACACACCCCCGGGGTCGTGCCCAAGCCTCCGAGCCCCTCCGTGGGGCAGCGAGCAGCGCCCTGGCTACCACCGGCCGCAGGGGAAAGTAAACAACACCCCAAGTGTCTGGGAACAAAGGCAAGTTGTCTTTCCACAGCCTCTCCTGAAGAATAAGGGCTATTATTATTCTTTCTTTTCTTCTTCTTCTTCTTCTTTTTTTTTTTAAACCAAGTTTCCTTCTAAGGGAAATAAACACCAAAGGTGGGATTCCAAGGAAATGACTCAGGGCGGTTGGCTGGGCTCTGGCGATGCTGGCCGGGTCCGCGCTCAGCCCGCAGCCGCTTGCCCGCCCCCTCCCTCCCCGCGCGG